AGGGCTGTTGGCAAGCGGTTGCCCTGTACTACACTATTCGAGGTTTTTTTGTTTCTTTTAATGAAATTTAAACGCATTTTTGTCAATTTACATAAGTAAATTGACAAAAATTGTTGGAATGCTAAAAGAAATATAAATTTCTTTTAGCATTCCAACTAAGCTCTAGGCTTGTGCTACGATACGTCGAGTGGCGGGATTCGAACCCTCAACCACGTGATCGGAAATTCGTACCCCTAACCATCAGGCTATTGGTGCTTTGTTGTTTGTTGCTTTTGTACTTCAATAATGGATTGCACATTACAACTATACATTTTGAGATTCTTGTTGACTACGAGATTTCATGTTGTGTGTTTTACGTTTTGTGTGGCTAATTAAGTTATTTTGTTTTCCAGTTATTGAGTAATAGTAGGGTACAGTTCAAAATAACTCTATATTTATAATTTTGGAACTCTTTTGTATTCCCAGGTCGGTGTGAACGCAAAAGGCGTCATTCAGTACCTAAACTGTGACCTGTTCACGGACAACGGCTACGTACTAAACGAACCTCTTATTATGATAGGCATCTCGATTTTTAACAATTGCTACAACAAGAAAACTTGGAATTACAAATTTTATAACACTATTACGGACACAGCATCTAATTCGTGGTTTCGATCACCAGGTAGGCAGTACTATTTACTATTGAATATTTTCTTAGTAACTAACACATTGCTATGTTTCATTTTCCCATCAGGTACATTAGAAATAATAGCAAACGCCGAATTTATAATGGAAAAGATAGCTTATGAAATGTCATTAGATCCGGTTGATGTGCGACTAGCTAATCTAGATGAAGATAACAGAGAAGCTATTGAAGAAATGTGGGATAATCTAAGAGTGAAATCTCAGTACGAGGAGCGGCGCGCCGCAGTGCAGCAGTTCAACGCACAAAACAGATGGTTAAAGCGCGGACTGAGGGTCAGCTTCATGAGATGGTCGTCGGAGAACCCTCAGTATATCTCCGCAAATTTATCAATATTCTACGAAGACGGAAGCGTTGCCATCACCCACGGTGGCGTTGAAATAGGACAGGGTATCAATACTAAAGCCGCTCAAATATGTGCTTATTTTCTGAACATTCCGCTTAGTAAAATTCAAGTTAAACAACAAATCACTTTTATTTCTCCAAACGTGGGAGAAACAGGAGGTAGTGTGACGTCAATGAATATCGGTCTTGCGGTGCAGAGATGCTGCGAAATAATTCTTTGCAGATTAGAACCTATACGGAAAATATTAGGTAACCCTACTTGGGAGGAACTCGTCAAAGCCGCTTTTAACAACAATATTGATTTGCAAGCGCGAGGTACCGTCACTGCGGCGGATGCACTTCTCTACGACATTTACGGTGTTATTGTGACTGAAGTTGAAACTGACATAATAACTGGACAATCTGAAATAAAACGAGTGGATCTTATAGAAGATGTGGGACAAAGTGTTAGTCCCTTAATCGATATTGGTCAAGTAAGTGATCTTACTTACTAATGAATGTTTGGTACATTTTGTAGCCTAAACGGCCGAACGGATCTCGATGAAATTCGGCATAGACGTAGAGAATAGTTTGGAAGAACATATAGACTACTCACTTTTGTTTTTTTTTTAAATACCACTCGGACTGAGTCGTGAGCGAAAGCTAGTACTCAATAATCTTAATACCGTGTGAAATAATTTAGTTATTTCATTTTAATTTCTTGTTTTAAATGATTTGTGTTGTCTACTATAGATCGAAGGGGCCTTTATAATGGGTCTCGGGTACTGGACGTGTGAGAAAGTGGAGTATGAGCCGAGTAGCGGCGAGGTGCTCTCTGACCGCACTTGGAACTACTGGGTGCCGCAAGCTAGAGACATACCACAAGATTTCAGAGTTTATTTCAGAGAGAAATCACGTAATTACGAAATATATCTCGGAGCCAAGGGTAAGAAGCTAATTAAAGCGATTTAACTCAATATTTCCCGATCAATTTATTGTTATTAGCGGATTGTTTTTCACTTTCGGTTCACAATTTTATATTTCCTACATTTTTCGGACCAGAACATTTATTTTCAGCAAGTTAAATTATGTTCCTTTTATCGCAGTGTTTTCTGATTTTCTGCTTTTATCGATGTGAAATTAATTATCCATGCTTTTTGTTTACTATATTTTACACTAGCTGTTGCCCACGACTTCGTCCGCGTTCAGTTTAAAAGTTCAAAAGTTACGTTCGCCCCTTCATTCAACCTAACATATATAGTGTTAACTTAGTAGTACTCTACGTAATAACAGAAATCTACCGATGCAAGATTCCAAATTTCTAAGCCCGGTAGTTTGTTAGCTGATTTTTCGGTTACCTTTATTGTTTGTGTTCGCGATATCTTCTAAACTATTTCTCAAATTCAAATACTGGAAAGGACAATTTTATTCTACATTAAATTCCCCTGACAACAAACGCATTTATTTGGATAAGGATACTAAAACCAATAAAACAAGGACGCAAATAGCATGCGTTTGTTAATTCATTTTGTAAACAAAAAAGTGGTTATTGTAAGAAAACCGTTAAAGATAGGTATAATCTATCGCGGACTTTTCTGTAGAACTTTTTGAGATCTACATTTTTTTATACATATTTTTTATATAACCTTAACCGTTTAGGCAGCGTAAGCCGAGAAAAGTTTAAGTTTAGTAATTTTTTGACGCCGGCGTCCAGAAACACGCTGTTTATTAATAGTTCCTAAACATTAGTAATAATAAAATATAGCCTATGTTACTCATAGATAAATTACCTTTCTTATGGTGAAAGAATTTTTAAAATCGGTCCAGTAGTTTTTGAGTTATTTCAATATATACAGAAATACAAACTTTTCCTCTTTATAATATTAGTATAGATATAGATATAGATTTATCCATCTAATATTATAAATGCGAATTTAGAATGGATGTTTGTTAGAGTTTGTAGACTAAACGTCTAAACGGATTCTGATGAAATTTGGTATAGATGTAGCGGATAGTTTGGAAGAAGGCATAGGCTATTAGCACTTTAGTTTATTTTAATTCCACTTGTCCGGAGTCGCGGGCGATAGCTAGTAGTTTATAATAAGACGTGTTTGCGAGATAAGAAGCAGAGGTAATGTGCGTGCGTGTTGCAGCGACGGGCGAGCCCGCCACCAGCCTGGCGGTGTCGGCGCCGCTCGCCGCCAGGGAGGCCGTCGCCGCGGCCAGGCTGGACTCTGGAATACCCACTACACAGTGGTTTCAAATTGGTAAGAATATAATATTTTGAATCATACGCAGTAATCTTACTAATATTACAAATGCGAAAGTTTAAATAGATGGTTGAGTGGACGGTTGTTTGGTAGAGTTTGTGGTCTAAACGGCTGAATGGATCCTGATGAAAGGCATAGTCGGGAAGAACAGAAAGACGAAAGCTAGTAACTGATATATTTTTTTAAAGTAAGAAAACCTTTGTACTTACATATGTGAGAATAACGTCAAAAATTATTTCTCCAGACGGTCCATACACGACCGAACAGATTTGTTTGGCAGCGGCTACAAAGTTTGAAGACTTCAAATACTATTAACACAAAGACAAGTTTTTCGAATAAAATGTATAAAATAATGAGACAATTAAAATGAAAAGTAATAAAACATTTATTGTATTATCAAATGATGTGTTTTAATTGTAACTTAATTAAAAACCTGTTCAGTATCACTTGAAATAGCTTGCCTGATGTATTGTGACGTCTGAACGAAGGCTGAGACTCACGAACTTCAACGAGAATGGCAAAATAACCGAATGTAATAAAAATATGAGATATCAGTTGTAAAAAATTAACATAAAGCAATCAATAACAAAATTATCTCTTTTTTAGCTTTACAGTATTAATTAAACTAATTAAATTTGAAATCTTCGTATTTGGTATCAGCAGCTAAACAGATACGTTCCACGGTCCAAGGTCCATCTAAAAATAAAAAAAGTAATACATGTATTACATAAAATCAATAATGGATATACGGTATGAAAGCTATTTTTACAATTTTCTAATCTTATAATTCTTAAATAATTATCTTACCAATTTGAAACCATTTGGTTGGAGATATCCCAGAGTCGGACCTGGCTGAAGTTATTGCTTCTCTCATTGCGAATGTCACGCCCACTGACAAACACATCGGCGGTTCTCCAATCGCTTGAAAACGTAAATTAATCAGTACTTCAATTTACTATACGTATTAATTTACTATATGTAAAGAGATCTAATAATGTTGGTCTTTAAAAATATTTAAAGCCACAAGACGCGTCGTCGTTGCACAACATGTATGACTTACTCAGTTATCAAAGAATTCTGAAGTTGGTAAAACTACAAATAAATATAAACAAGATATGTCTGAAACTGGGGCGGAGATATTGTTCTATAAACACTTTAAAAAAATGTTAAAATGTTGGCGGTACCTTTAGACCCTAGAAAAGCCGAAGGTCCTTGGGATTTTTTTTTAAAACTAATCCGAAAGTCCTGCGGTATATCTCTCGCTTGTGGCACGAAATAATTCCAGGTCCGATTTGTCAAATTTTCTCCGGTCTTAGGATCATATACTAAATGCTCACTCGTGCAATATCCAAGACCCATAACAAAAGCTCCTTCTACCTAAAATAATACATATATTTACCCAGTTATGTCATAATTACAAACATTATTATAAATAAGGCATATCTATTATTCTCACTTGACCAACATCCACGTCCTGATTGACACTCATGCCTGCATCTTCTAATAAGTCAACCCTGGTTACTTCAGACTGGCCTGTTAAAATGTCAACTTCTACTTCAGTAACCGCTACACCGTATACATTAAAATTCTGAACATCGTTTCGATTAACAAAACCGTGCGCCTGCAGATTTACGTTTTGTTCATGTGCAGCAACGATAAGTTCCTTCCAAGTCGGGTTTCCAAGTTGCTCTCGTATAGGTTGCAGTCTTTCCAATAACTCTTTGCAGGCTTTTTCTACACCTAAAGAGGTAAATATCGAGGCTAGACTTCCACCGGTTATGAATCCGTTACATGCAATTATAGTATTATTTGGCTTAATTTTTATAAGGCTTAGGGGTATTTTTAAAAAGTAAGCGCAAACTTGAGCCGCCTTAGTATTGATACCTTGACCCATTTCGACGCCACTGTGTACGATATCTACAGAACCATCGCCGTGATAGACTGATAGAGTGGTGATGTATATTGTAGTGCCAGCTGGAGACCATCTCATCAATGAAAACCTTAAGCCTCGTTTCTTCCATCTATTTTCTTTATTGAACTTTTCAACCTGGAGCCGTCGACTAGCATAATCTGAGCTTCCTTTTATTGTGTCTATCATTTCTAGCAAATCGCTGTAATTGTCTGTATCCAAATTGGCTAAACGTACTTGAAGAGGATCCACTGACATCTCGTATGCTATTCTTTCCATAATACATTCAGCCATAAAGATAGCTTCCAATGAACCTGAAGCAATCAAAATGATTAAACGTTTTGTGTAGAAAATATGAGATTCGATAAATAATCAGATTTTATGGTAACGCAATGATAACCTGGAGCCCTGCACCATGAGTTGGAGGCGCTGTCGGTGACGCAGTTGTAGGAGGCGTACTCCCAACGCGCTGCTCTATAACAGTTATTGTAGACGCCGTCGCCGATCATTATGAAAGGTTCGTTAACAATATACCCGTTGTCTTCATAAAAATTGTATTTTAAACATTGAATGGTTCCTTTATCATCAACTTCTATCTGCAAATTATTCGATAGAGACCAAGATAAAATAGAAAATATTATTTAATTAGTTAGTTAATTTGAATTTTCTGTTAATTTGATAAGAAGTTTACCTCAAAAGTAATGGTACATGGTAATCTTTTTCCGACGGTTCTCATATTAGTGGTGAGGGATTGAATAAACCGACAAGGTCGTTTTAATTTTTGAACAATCAAGTTACAAGCCACTGCCACTTGATTTGACCGCGATATCTTTATGCCAAATGCGCCACCAATTCGACGAACGTAGACATCGATACTTTAAACAAATAACATTTATTAAACTAAGCCACTCATTCGCATATTCAATAAAACGGTGTTATTTTATAATACGGATTTTAGACTGAGGGCATGAACTACTTACTATTCAACAATTTATTAAGTACTAACCAGTTTTGTTGCAAGTTCAAGGCTCGAGAAGTCGTTACTTGTACACTGTCTATCCATTGAGATGAAGGACGCACTTTCATCCCTTGCTCCGTCGGTTGTGAAACACATACTAAGGTTTCCATACTGAAATGATACTGGCCGTATATAGTGTTCTCTCCGGTTATCTTTTTACAGACTTTAGTCCCTCTGTCTGTGGCAGCATGCGTTGTGTACAGAGTACGTCGGCTAGAGTCATCTTTGACTATCTTAATATCCAGTATCGGCTTTCGAACATTGCTGTACTTGGCGGTTACCAATTTAGCGGCAACGTCTGCTATGTAGCGTGTTTCTGCTACAATTATTCCTATAGCTTGGTTGTAATATTTAATTTCCTTGGCACACAATAATTCCTCGTCTTTTTCATAAAACACCGTACCCGCCGGTGTAAATGAATTTACACAAGGTATGTCTTTTGCTGAATAAAATGCTATGACGCCAGGTTGCTTCTGAGAAATCAGACACATTCATTTTAATTACGGGTTTTTATACATACTACACTAAATACAAAACGCCTTTTTTTAAACTTACCAGAGCCTCGCTTGCATCAATGGATTCCAAAGTTCCCAATGGTACTGTGCTCAATACAAACGAGGCAAATACTTCTTTAGGGATCGGTGGCACGTCTTCAGCATAATGTGCTTCTCCTGAACATTGTATCTAAACGGTAAATATGTAACTTAATGTATTTGGTAGTAAAAACATTTTTAGAGAACTGCATAACTTACCTGCGCTTCTAACTTCATAACGGGTTGGTTTAACGGCCACAAAGAAGGGTCGGTTTCAAAAGTTTGTCTACCGCTCGACAACTGCCGACTATCATGTATCTCAGTACCACCGGATTGGAACGGTAATGATAGTATATTTGGTGGACAAATTGAGAGTAAACCCTGGCAAATTTAAATAGTTGATACACTTGGAATTAAGTCCTTCATAATATTTTTGGTTGTATCACTCACCTTATAAAACAAGGAGATGGCTAAATGTTTGCGATAGGCTACCGATGGTTCCGGAGGATTTTCAGTCACAATTAGCTCTTTAATTAAACTTTGTATGGCCAACTGCAAGGTAGCGTTATCAAAAAGTGGTTTGCCTATGAGACAATTCTCTGTTTTAATTGCTCTGATAAACTTTGGAGACAATCCGCCATATGTAATTCTAGCTGAACACACTTTGCCTTTTAATGTTATTTCATACAAGAATCCAGCGTTTACTATTGCATGCGCATTTTGTGCCCGAGCTGCTATCTGCAATATTTGTTAATCCAATTGAGGGAAGTAAATACAAAAGAACATAAGAGAACCAGTGTCATCAATTCAAATGCGTAAAATCAGGGTTAAAATAGCAAACCAAAATTTTAGTTTAATTAAAATTAGTATCTAAGTGCTTTTAATTTACCTTATATGTCACAATTTTATTACTATTATTTAACGGAGGTAGCATCACATCCATAACTATTTTCCCTTTTAATTGTTGTTTAAGAAAATCCTGCATACTATACGTTCTTTTACTTAATACGGAATTTGCTGTAAAATACAAGTATAACTTTATTTATAGAATCGGCATTTATCGGTATTTAAAGTAAACACATATTTACCTATAGTAACTTGAGCTCCGACAGTCTCTAACAACAGAAATATATCCGATTGAAATTCAGGATTCCTATTTTTTATAACTAAGTTTCCAGCTATTGTTGCAATCTATAATTATCAAAACGTTATGTAGATTTAAATATAAATACGCAAAACATCTGGGAATAGTTAATATTACTTACATTGCGCACAGCTATATGAGCAACCTTTTGCAAATGTTCATTAATTGTTGATAAATAGCTAAAATTCTCTTTTTTCGACACTGCCTTAAATATTTCTATAACTTCTGTAATCGTCAGTCCTGCGCCAATCACTAAATTTTGATCAATCAGGTATTTCTTCAATTCAGACACGTTGCTAATGTCAATTAAAACTTGAGGGTACTCTGTTATTGGATAAACTCCTACGAGTACAACAAAAAGTTTGTCATATATTAGTCAATAATTTGTATCTGTCACACTCTCATGGTGTGACATGGCTCTACAATAACCATAAAATTACCTTTTGCCGTGTTTCCAGCAACCAGCATGTATGACTTGTCACCTTTAGTTTTTAAGATGTTAAATATTTCACTAACAGTTTGTACTGAATACCAATCTCTATTATCATGTAATAAGATATGTTTTACATTACTTGCGTCGATATCGTCTTTTGAAACGATACACCAATCGTCGTCTTTACAAGAACCTTTGCATACGCTACCGGTGCGGCTGCATACAGGTAGATCTTCTATGTCATCTATTGTTACCCGATCAGGGGCGTCGCTTGCGAATTTTTTAAACGCATCTAAAATCGGCCTATAGCCAGTACATCTACAGATGTTACTTGATAACGATTTCTCTATTTCTAACCTAGTTATATTAGGTTTGCTTTTTAGGAGGCTGAAATGTTAATTCAGATTTTAGAAATAAGTTTCTTCTAAATCATAGTTTTCATTCATCGGATACTAACCTATACATGGTCATGATCCAACTGGTGCTGCAGTAACCGCACTGACTTCCATTGTCTTTTGCGAGCTGAGTTTGTAACTTATGATAACCCTTAGCCTGATCTCCCAGGGATTCTATGGTCGTTATCTCCCAGTTCTGGCACGATGTGACCGATACCATACACTATGAACACAGACAGTAACAATAATCGTGAAGTAATAAATATAAAAAAGGTGAATAAGTAAATATTTACAGCGTTGACAGCAGAGTGTGGTGTGCCAGGTCGCTGCACGGACACGATGCAGGCGCCGCAGCCGGCCTCGCGACACATGTACTTGGTGCCGAAGAGGTGCAGCGACGACCGCAAGTAGTCCAGCAGACTCGTCGTGGAATCTACTTCGCATCCCACTATGCAAATCATTATAATATAATAGTAAAATATTTTTAGGACTTAAAAATAGTTACATTTCTGCTAAAACATTACTTACCCGAATATTTAACTCCATTCACTGCAAAGCAAATCCTATCCATTGTTTTACCGTCGTTGGCCCGACAATGTGAAGAATTTGTGGTTTAATAATATAATAAGTATCACTACTAAACACGTAACGTTATTAAAATGCTAATTAAAAGATAAAGGCACTACCTACTTAATTCATTATTAACTTAACTTCAAAGGTTCGAGCATTTTTACGAGTGATAAGGTTCCTTAATGACGCTTATTTGCTATTTCACAAAATGTCAATACTCGAATTTAGATAAAAACATAACTCAGATACTGCCATAGCAATGACATAGGTACTTACCACGTACCGCAACATATTTAGAGTAAAATAAAGGCCACAAAGAGGCCTCGGTGCCTCAAGGCACTCGACTGGTAATCCACAGCTCCTGGGTTCGAATACTGACATGTACCAATAGAATTTTAAAAATTTCATAAATATTTATCCCACGTTTTTACTGTTAGGGAAAAGATCGTGTTGCCTGCACATATCGCCGAAAAAAATCAAAGATGTGTGAAGTCCACCAACCCGCAGTGGGGCAGCGTGGTTGACTATGGCCTAGTCGCCCCTTACTTAGGGTAGGTTTGGTAGGTAGGTAAAAAAGCCACAAAAACAATAATTCACAACTTTTGTTTATTTAAATTGAATTACAATTTCGCTAATAGTATTTTAAAAATAAAGTTTAATTAAATTTAAATAACTCAAAGTTAGTAGCGGCTGCGAGACAGATCTTTTCATAAGTATACGGTCCATCTGTAACAAAAAAGTAGTTAAAATTGCGTTGTTGTAATATCAATTATTGCTTTGTACTCGATAGTCGAAGAGGACACCTACATACAAATGAATTGTCATAGATATTAATTAAAACGTTAGGTGCCACTACGGTACTCTACTCGTATTTCAAAATGAACTATGCGAATCACTAGCACGGAACGTATAAGAATTAAAACGTCATGTTAAAGAAAGTGATCTTACCTAAATCAAACCATTGATTGGTAGGTACACCACATTCCAGTCTTGCTGCTGAAATGGCCTCTCTTATTGCAAAAGGCACAGCTATCGCCATACATGTGGCCGGCTCTCCCGTCGCTGCAAGTTGAACAGAAATAAGTAAATTGATTAGCTAATATTTGGACAAACCCTAAAAATGGATTTAGTTAGCAAAATCTTTTTACAAAATATTCTCGAGCGGTAAGTAAATATTCAAACTTTGAAAATTCAAATTGTCAGTGCATGAATTGGCTGTGGAATGAGGTAAAATTGTATTAATGGTCTATTCCACACTCGATATTCTTGAACTGTACATATAATAGAAGACAAGATCAATTACCTTTCGATCCGAGGATAGCGTCGTTGCTGTACGATCTTTTTCTGAAATATATTCTAAGATCTTGTGGTATATCCCTCGCCTGAGGCACCCAGTATTCCCAGGTACGATTTGTCAACAACTCTCCTGTATTAGGATCGTATACTAAATTTTCCGACGTCCAATAACCAAGGCCCATTACGAATGCTCCTTCAACCTTCAAAGATATTGCTATAATTACTTTTATTATTAAGAATAAATCTAAATACTTGATCAAGGTATATTCAGAACTGACAAATTTTAGCTAATTTTATTACTTACTTGACCGACTTCACAAAGTTTAGAAAATTCAATTAAATTTACTTACTTGACCAATGTCTATTTCCGGGCTGACACTCCTTCCGACGTCTTCTAATATATCAACTCTTAGTATCTCCGTTTGGCCAGTTAATATATCTACTTCGACTTCAGCTATCGTTGCGCCGTATATATTATATTTCTGCACGTCTGCGCTGTTAACGTGAGCGTGTGTTTGCAGATCGACGTCAGCGGCGAATGCACTTTGTATCAGTTGCACCCAGCTCGGATTCGTCATTCGATTCCTCACAGGTTCCAATTTCACTAAGAAAGCCTCGCAAACTTTCTGTACACCGATACCAACGTATTGTGATGTCAAACTTCCACCAGATATAAAAGCATTCGGTGCTATAATAGTATTGTTCGCTTTGATCTGAACCATTTCCACAGGTATTTTAAGGAAATAAGCACAGATTTGCACAGCTTTAGTATTTATTCCTTGGCCCATTTCGATGCCGCTGTGAGTAAGGACAACAGTTCCGTCATCATGGTAAACTGACATGTTAATATCCAAATAGAAATTACCAACAGGAACCCACTTCATGAACGCAACTCTCAGTCCGCGTTTCTTCCAACGATTGTCTCTATTAAATTTATCGACTGCACTTCTACGTTCCGTATACTGAGAATTCTTCGTAATTGTTTCAGACAACTCTGTCATATCTTTTTGCACTTCGGGGTCGAGATTGGCCACACGCACTTGTATAGGATCTAACGTCAGTTCATAACTAATTCGTTCCATAATTGATTCTGTCATTGCTATACATTCAAGAGTACCTGTAAGAAACATAGTATGTAGTTGTATTAAACACGAAAATATTTAAGTACTACTATCTAGGGAGAAAAGGTAAAGGTTTGATAGGGTCGAAATTATGTCTAGCAATTAATTAACATTATTCTTTGATAATACTCATTGGGTTATTACCTGGAGATCTACACCAAGTATTCGACGGATTGTCGGTGGTGGTGTTAAACGATCTGTAATTCCATCTTGCTTTGTTGTAGCAATTATTGTAAATATCCGTTGTGAGGGCCAAGAAAGGTTCATTTATAATATACCCGTGGTCATCGTACAGATCGTAATTCAAATATTGCACGACTCCTTGCGAATTTACACCAACCTAGAAAAGTGGAATTTAATTATCACAACATCTTGTCTCAACTTCTCCATTTCATTATTGTTAAATGTATGATGATATATTGATAAAATCAAGCAATACAAGGACGTTGACAGCAATATTGCGAA